TTTTAGAAGAACATTTTTGGAAAAAAAACTTGGAAAAAAATTTCGGAAAAAAATTTTGGGAAAAAAATTTTGAGGAAAAAAATTTTGGGAAAAAATTTTGGGAAAAAATTTTGGGAAAAAAATTTTAGGAAAGAAATTTTGGGAAAAAAAAATTTTTTCACTCAATTCAATTTTATTAAATTTTGTAGATAAAAATTTTGGGTAAAAAAATGTTGAGGAAAAAAATTTTGGGGAAAAAAATTTTAAAAAATTTTGGAAAAAAAAATTTTGGGAAAAAAATTTTGGAAAAAAAAATTTTGGGAAAAAAAATTTTTAGAAAAAAAAAATGGGGAAAAAATCGAAGTAAGAGACGAATGCAGGAAACTGGTATTTTATTTAATTTCTTTTATTAAATAAGTTGAAATTACAATATTGTGTTACAATATATGTTGTATATTTTTATATTATATAATAATAAAAACAACATTGTTTTGTAAGTGATGTTACATTTCAAAAATACATATATCAAAATATTAATATATATTAAACTATAGAGATATAATTTCCTAGAAACGTTAATAGTAAATTTTTAATAATAAAAAGTTTTACACCTCATAGTGCGTTTACAGCATAAAAAGTATATTAATTAAATAAAAACGATATACAAAATACATCATAACAAATTTCTAATTTTAAAAATTTTAAATTCTGCATAAAAATACCACCATGATAAGGTGTCAGCCACGAGGGGGAGGAGGGAGGAAAATAGGAAAAGAAAGGATCGATACACTCTGAGATCGACAAAGACTTTGAAATCCGATTTTCAGAAGTCTGACATATGTCGCAATCTACCCATCATTCAGGCTACGATCGCTAAACGACTCCGGACCCGGTCTTCCGAAATCGACGAACACGATCGCTTCTCACTCGTTCACACAGTTTTATTTTAATTTTACAATTATTTAAAATTGTTCATATAACTCGAAGTTTATCAATTTGTGTTTCATAGTTTTTTCGTGCAATTTTCGTGTGTTTTTATGTTTTTTTTTTTCAATTTATTTGTATAGTGAGTTCTTTACATTTGTTTATGTCTATTTTTGCATTTTCACTTTTATACACTTTCACAATATATATTTTTTATAAAACAAATTTATTAAATTGATTAGATTTATGCTTTTTTACATTTGATATGGTAGCAATATGATTGTAGTCAATGAAATCTTGTAGTTGTGGGGTACAATTCAATATTCACTAAATCCTCACAATACATACCCAACCTCACAACTAAAGTTTGTCGGTTTTCAAAAACCGTTTTTTTGAAGAAAATTATGAAATTCGATAACCGGTTTTTTAGTAGAAAAAATCGGTTTTCACTGTATAAATGGAGAATAACAAATATAGCCAAATATAAAAGATAGTAGCAAGCGTTTTGATTCTTGAAATCATTTCAGCATTTGGAATCTTATCAGTCTGCTATGGCTTCCAGAAAAGTTTTGTGTTATCTTTTGTCTAATGTATATATTAATTTAGGTTTTTATACCAGTGTATATAGAATTAGTATATCAGGCTTTAACAACAATCAAGTTCGGTCGCAAGTAAGAGAGTATTTTCTATTTTGGGAAATATTGTAAACAAAGGACACGTCTAAGTAACAAATCGATAGACATTCTCAATTTTTTGAAATCATACGAGGGTCATGCAAAAAGTAAGGTTCCCACATTTTTTTCAGGGTTGAGGCATTTTTATTGCAATAAATGTGTATACCATCGGAAAGCTTGTATTTCAAATTATTTTTCTACATAGTCGCCAGATCTTTCATCGCATTTTTTCTAAAGAGTTTTTCACTTTTGAAAACCCGCTTCGAAGAACTTCGCCGCCACGCCCTTGCTCGGTCTTCTTCTCCGGCGATTTTGAATGGCTTTTTTGAGTTTTGTTAGTGTCTCGCAGTACTTGTCCGAATTATATATAGTGGACCCTTTAAGCATTAATTCGGTAAGCAAGACACATTTTCGGTCCAAAAACTCGATGGCCTCCCGCTCTTTTGCTCGTCGTGAACGTCTGTGCGTCCTGCGGAGAACTCCCTGCACGATTTGAGGACGTGCTGGACGTTGATGCAAGTTTTGCCATAAACTTCTTCCAACTGTCTATGAATTTCAGTAGGTGTAAGCTTCATCCGCGCTCCATCGCGGATGGCTGTTAGATTGGCACTAAGCTTTGCAGCGATCTTCCAGATAGTTGGAATGGAGTGGCAAGGATCAACAATGAAAATGGTGTTGCAGGATTTCCCGTAGTATCTCGCGCGGCGAGTGTACAGCGTTGGGAACCTTATTTTTTACATACCCCTCGTAATCATAATTTTATTAAATAAAAAAATAATTAAACCTTTTGAAATTAATTAATTAAAATTGCTCGGGATAGAAAATACTCGAGGCTTAATTGTTTTCAAAACTAAAATTGGTAGTAACAAGTATGTATTAACATGTACCTTTTTTTTAAATTTAATAAATGTTTTTGATTTAAAAATGTATTATTTTTATTTATTCGAAAACTGTTCTTTCACTGTGATATTATTTTCATTTCTATATGCGAAAATGATGCATGGATAACAAATAATTATTTTCAACGTTATTTAATCCAGATAAACTATTATTTTTTTGTTCTACTAATTAAAATTAATATAATTTTGTTTACTATCCATAAAATTGAACAATAAGTAAATTCAGTCAAATACTGCTTTAAATCGCACTAAATTTACGGATAAATTTTTGTTATTGCAGAATATTCGAGTAAAAATTTATTTTCTATATAAAATTCAAAAACCGGCTAAAACACACCACCTTAAATCAGGCTAAGAATTTCGACATTTGCATATTTCAGCCAGCATGAAGTTGGCGACTAGGGTTGGCGACGAAATAGAAGTTAGCCGTCAAGTTGAAATGTATTGGATTCATAACTTTGACAGCTAAAACCTGTCAAGATCATTATCATCACAGCCAAACAAGTATTATTATTATTATATTGTCTAATACCAAGATGATAGCCTTTACAATTTAGACAATATATTACGTTAAAATACAATATATCTTGTTCCCTCATAGCAAATATTGCAGAAAAAACGAAATATATCTGTCAATTCCAAGACAGTATGAAGTATTTTGGTTTAGTATTATAACATCAGAAGTGTTTCAATTTTATTTCATTTACTGAACCTTCTATTTGTTGTTTGTTGAGTTTTAGTTAGCTTCCACTGAATTAAGGTCAAGATCGTAACCAAACCTAATAATGTATACAACGTAACCCTAACAAAAATAATGAATAAAATGTAACCCTATGCGTAAAACGTAAGCCTAAATTATTTTTTAAAACAAAATTATAACTAAAATATTGTATAAAATCTAAGCTAGACTAAAATGATCTTTGAATGAAAAGAATCCTAAAACATAACCCTAAAATGTAAAAATTAAAATAAGAACTAAATAGGCGCGTAATCAAAAAGCCAAAGCGAATAAACTTGAACGGACATAAAAAAATAAACACAAAAAGAATGAATCATAACGAAAAGCTAAAAAATATTAAATATGAAACAAGCCTACTTAATAAAAAACAATACGCCGACACAACGCTGATATAAAAATGAACAAAATGGCCGACGCGCTCTTGACATCTGAAATGCTTGACAGCTTGATATCAGTCTTCGCCGGCAACTTCATGCTGGCTGAATTATGCAAAGTCTTAGCTTGATTTAATGCCTCCTGGCTAAAACCGGTTTTCTGGTAATATTAAAATTCGAAAACCGGTTTTCTGAAATGTCGGTTTTTGTACAAACCCTACTCACAACGTTGTGTTGTCATAGAGGACAACATTCGGCATAATGCATCATGAAATGATTAGAAAGCATCAAAATCAATAAAAATAAAATGTAATCTCAATTGGATTAAATGTAATAGAATTTAAATTTGTCTTGTATTTTATTATTCTGATTTCAAAGATCAAAGCAAACTTTTCAGAAACGAATAGGAAATGATAATGGAAAAAAGTTTGCAGTCATTTTGCACACATTTCCAAAATGAATAGCTGCTTTAGAGATATTCAACCTTCAATATGCTAATTCTCGGAAAAATATTGGGTAATTGTATGAACACTACAAAAAGAGTTATAACAATTGTAAATATGTTTTCAAAATATTCTAGTTTTTAATATTTTCCTTACAAAAAAAACGCTATTTTTTCAGAAACTAAGATATCGAAATGAGACTTTTTGAAAAAGATGGACTTAATCATATATTGTCAATTATTGTCACTGATTTCATTATATTATTCCAACTTAATGAAACACTATTTATAAATATATACTCTTATTTATTAAATAGCTACTTGCGAAAGTAAATTATTACTACGTTCACAAAATTTGCGCATACCACATTAATTTTGTTTCATATAGCTCATTTGGCGCATTAGCAAAATTATGACTAACACAATATATGCATGAGTAGTTATGCTCTTCAAAGTCAAGAGTTATATAAGCTGAACGAATTAAAGTGTTTGATCAGTATTCATTGCATATTGAAAAAAATAAATATATATAAAAAATGCTTTGATACCACATAAATATAATTTGATTTTGGTAATTCAAAAATAATAATACTGAATTCTACAATTTAATTCATTTTTAAATCATATTCTTCTCATCACTGGCTGTGATGATATATTTGTTATTTATCCGGGATGAAAATTTATAAAAAAAAAATCACTTTAATCAAAATACGATTATATTTTAAATGAAAATATGTCGTATTGATGACCATTTTTTAATTTGATAAAAGATCTCTTAGAGTCATTCTTGAATTCATAATAATTTACAAAATTTACAAATGATATAATATATATATAAGCACAACAAAATATGTTTATATATTCACCTAAATCTTTTAAACAAGCTAAGTATTCTAGGCATGTAAAAATATAAACATATAAATCAACACAAAAACAAACAAAAATTAAAAATAGAATACATGTTGCCTGCAAAATTTGAAATGGTAACCTTACCTTTTATTCATATACATAGAGACACATACATATATATATCTTCCCACGTGTACATTTATAAATGTTTCTAAGCGTGCACAAATTTTATTTTTCCTTCTTGTTCAAAAAATATTTATTTCTAAATTTCATTATGGATCTTCTAATGAAATTCCTTGTATCCAGGAACTTAGATCATTTGTTTCACTACATTCCATCACTAGCTCTTGAGGCTTATGTGAGGATATAAGCATTGGAGCAGCACTTCGACCACTTAAATAGGCCCCATGTACCGTTGAATAAAAATTACTATGAGTATGTTCTCCAGCAAAAAGTAACACAGGTTCTAAGAGAAATTATATAATTAATTAAAACATTCACATTAGCTCAAAATGCAAATATTAAACTTCAAGAGCTATACAGAGTTTTTGAAAATAAAAATTATATTTTTGTAAGCTATTTTACCAAGGCGTGTTTAGGATTAGCATACAAGGGTTGAGCTAAATTTTCTATATCCAGTTGACAAGCTCCGACTGCCATTGCAGTATATGATCCTCTGCTGTAAGGTTGTTTATGCCAACTGGTGCTAATGATGAAAAAATAATTATATTTTATTCTTCATGTAAGAAATTTCAAATGGTTATTAAACTTTCTGTATTTATTTTCCTCATGAAAAAACAATGTATATTTAATCTTAATAATTACTCTATATAATATCAAATTTACTTCAGTAACATAAAGGATCCGCCAAATAACTTTTTTTTTTTTTTTAAACTGTACAAATAGAAACCACTGAATATTTTCAACAATCCTTTCAATTAATAATGGAAAATAATTTCATTCAAATGGCTGCCTTGGCCGGCCATTGTAATAGTTTTAAAAATGTTAAGCCCGTATCACACGACGCTTCCCAGTAAACATGCGATATGGCCACAACATCGTGGCAATATTTTATTTAGGTCGTGTGACATGCGATTCCCATATTCATTTTCCTCGATATTTAATGGATACGGCCGCAAATTTATGTAACTATCGAACAACTATCGAGGTTCGGTCTCTGGCGCACGTGGCGTTCGTGATACATGAAAATCGACGTTGACCCACATATGTTTGTTTATTATGATAAGACCGTCTGACGTAAGGCGTTCACCCCAGTCATGACGTCATTGGCGAATGAAAACGATTCGGTCATGACGTCATACAAAATGGCGACTCAGTTATGACGTAATAGCACCTGAAAGTGATGACGTAATGCAATTAATATTCTTTTCTGTACGAATAAGCATTTATTTACGTGAATAATAAGAAATTTTACAATATTTAAATATTACAAATTAGAATTGTAGTTTTGAAATTATGAAATTTTAACATGAACTATACTAGAAAACTTTTTACAAATTATTCAATCTTAACATATTAATAACAGTATATTTAATGAAAATTGTTGTATATCTAATGAACGTAATTCTATTTTTGGGGCGTGAAGTGTGAAGTGTTGCATAAGTATTCTATCGCCACTTCCTTATACATCAAACAGCCTGCCTATTTTTCATTATTTCATTCTATCGCCAGTTCATTGCATCAAATGCCAGGATACAGATTATGCACATATGACATACTGCCCCAAATTTTGGAAGTTTTCTAAAACAAATTCAAACATAATGTGATTTACTGTATATAATATAATATATATATACAGCTACCATATGTGTAGCTACCTACATGTTCAGTGTACAAATCTCCATCATCTTAAAGTCGCTTTTACATATACATTTTTAACACTGACTGATTTCATTCTATCGCCAGTTCAATACATCAAATGCGAGGATACAGGATATTCATATATGATGTACTTCTTGGAAGTTTTCTAAAACAATTTGAAACATAATGTGTTTTATTGAATCTAATAATATATATACCACTCCATATGTGTAGCAACTTACATATTCAGGAGACAAATCTAAATCGTCTTCGAGTCGCTTTTGCACATACATTTTTTTTAACCTGATTGAATTCATTATATCTTCAGTTCATTATACATCAATACATCAATCAAGTTCATGCATATATGACATACTGTTCCCAATTTTAGAGGTTTTCTAAAACAATTATAAATATAATGTATTTGTTACCAAATAATATATATACAGCAACTATATATGAATCAACTTACATATTAAGAAGATAAATCTCCATTATCTTCAAGTTGCTCCTAAACATACATTATTTGAGCCTGTCTAAAGATCTGTATATTGTTCATCGTTTCATTCCAATTTTGTACGACTTCTGAAATAAATATGAACATGGCATACGTGTTTGCTGTTTATATATATTTGTATAGCTATTATATTTGTAGTGACTTACATATTCAAACAATCATTCTCGATCCGCTTCTCAACCGACTAATTTAAGAGATTTAAGAAGTGAGGTTATGTCGAACACATGGATATGTTAATGTCTTAATTTAGTAAAATAATTATTTTAACCTTGATAAACGATCCTTATTATTGTCCTCAGATTTTGTAAGATATGCTATTTGGTTACCTCCTTTGTCATCTAAAGAAATCGACATAAAATAACGTTTCTTCATCCCAGGATATAATGCACTAAATGGAATTCAAAATCGTGAAGTAATTACATATCTATATAAATAATATATGATATACTTACAGTGTCATTTTTCTACACTTTTCTACAATTATCACTATGAACAAGTTGCTTAACTAAACGAATGTAATTATTATACTAAAGAAAATATAACTTGATGCATGATAAATTCGTGACATTTTGCGCCATTTTGTACGCGGGTTAGGTTAACTTTCGTCAAAGAAACAGTCGGTTCCATCAGTGGCCACGGCGCGCTGATGTAAAGCTTTCTTTGTATGGTCACACACACCAGCACACAACGCACACAACGCAGCGCACGACGCGTTTGCTTCACGCCGTGTGACGTCATTGATTATGCTTTGCATGTGTGCTAACACACACCAGCGCACGACATGTATCTCACATGAAATTCAACGATGTCATTACCCCCGACAGCGCGTGTTTATGTCTCGTGAGACAACTCAATGCGAGCTTTGCGTGTATTGTAACACACACAAGCGCACGCAAGTTTAAAATCCTCTTGTGGCGTAGATTCGATAACCGCATTATAATAACGATGTCGATATTATAGAAGATCACATCGCGTGTTTACTGGGTTGTTTTCTGGGCTAGATAATATGCTTGATTTTGTCGCAGATGTCGGCGCCGAGAAAGCTTGCTTGCTTTGAGTGAAATTTGTTTTAGCTTGCTTGATTTTTGAGTGTGATTTGTCTTGGCTTGCTAGATAATTGAGTGTGATTTGTTTTAGCTTGCTAGATTGTCAAATACGATAAACCACATGACAAAAAACTGCTTCACTACATTTTGTTGTGTGGTTTGTCACATTTGAAAATCTAGCAACTAAAACAAATCACACTCAAAAATCAAGCATGCTATGTAGCCAGCCCAGAAAACAAATGTCATGTGATTCGGGTTTATTCTAGGGTCTATGATCCATCCACAAAATTATTGCATATTCTATTATCTCTTATATGATTTTGAAATTTAAAATACTATTTATAGATACAATGAGAACTTTTTTTTCAAATGAATCAATTTTTTTAAATCAGAATTGTGGACTTGAAGTAAGAACTTTAGTATTTGATGTTATACTCTTGTTTTACTTATGATGTTATAAGGTTCTTCGGAAAGTCACTTCGTTTTTTTACCACCTAGGATTTAAATGTATTTTTTGAACCTGAAATTACACTTGAGCCCTATAATTATCATATGATTTGAAAGGTTATATTTTAAGGTTTGTGTATAGAAAATTCTAATCATATACACAAAGTAGTTTTTGGATGGTGCCACTTTGAATACGAAAAAAATTAAGCAGCATTTTCGACTTTTTTTACTCTTTTGTTATAGAAAAGGTAAAAATACGGCTTAAATCAAAATGCTATTGATTGGTGTGTACGGAAATGACGTATTGATATTACAACAGTGCCAAAACTTGTCCACTAAATTTTATTCCTAGTATTTTGATGTCCAAGAGCATCATGCCCAAAAAGTACGGTTGAAGCTGATAAAGACACGAGAAAGGCATTAGTTGATGCAAACCGGCGAATAACAATACATGCGATCCCCTTGAGTTTAAATTTATCAAATTTAACAGTTCATGACCACTTAAAAGGTTCATGACCACTTAAAAATCCTCCTCGAAGCTCAATATATGGTTCTCATAGAAAGAATCCTTTTATGGACCTGAAAAGTCCTGAAAATGTTCAGGTTTTGAAGCAAATTGTCACTAGAAATGTCAAATTGGAAATAAAGAATACAATACATGTAATTCCCCATGAAACAAACAAGAAGAACATGTTCAAAACAGTTGTAAAGCTGAAATTTGGCAAAGAAATGAGATACAGTATATTTGGTGACATTTTTAAGAAGTTGTTTGTTTTTCTGCTTTTTCAAGGTAACATAATGGTGGATGCATTATGTCATCAGCTGAATAAACCGCATGATGTACTTCAATAGAAAAGGTCAGAATTAACCCACAAGCAAGGTATAGTATTGCGTCATGACGACGCAAGACCTCGCATAAGTTTGATGCATGGCCAAAAGCCTTTACAGCTTGATTGGGACATAATGCCACCTTCACCACATTCTCTTAACCTGCCACCATCAAACCACTATTTGTTCTGGTCACTAAACCAATTTTTAGGCGGTAAAACCTTCACCTCAAATTAGGAGATCAAAAACTACCTTCTTTGATCAGTTGTTTGCCAATAACTGCCAAAAAATTTATGATCTCGGAATTATGTTAATACCAGAAATATGACAAAACATGTTCGATACAATATATAATTTATTAAAGTATTTGTTTATTGTGCGAAAATTACGTGCTAAAATGTCTATAAAAAACGAAGTTACTTTCCAAACAACCCAATATATTATATTTTATCATTTTCAATGTTCATATATGTTATTTTCGTTTTCAAGCCTTGTATAAAATTTTATTCATAATTAACTTGAAAAAATTAGCCCTTATTTGCTCGTTTTTATAATTTTTGTTAATTTTCATGAAATTGAAAATAAAAGTTTGAATTTATTATTGTTAGATACTGTTTTAACCCACCTTTGAAATGTTGTATTTGGCAATTATCTCATTTATAATGTATTGACTCATATAAGCACACTCGTTGTCTTGTGACATAATAAATATCATTTCAGATATCTGATGGGTAGTTATAATATTATTATAAAGTACTTTTCGAAAATCTGGGTCAAAAAATTTAAATCCGCAACAAATATTGCTTTTAGAAAAACCCGAGATCCAAAGTCCAAGATCCAGAACTACATCCACATAAATAAATTACAAATAACAAAAAATGAAGCATTGTGAATCATACTCAGAATAAAGAGAAACCCAATCACTTATTACATATACAATAGCAATATCTACACAATCGTTTGGGTATCCCTTTCATATTAGAAATTGAAAAGAAACTTGCAGAACATTTATTTGAAAAATGTGGTTCCATGAATTTGGTTCTATATCTCAAGACATGTAAGTATATTAAATACAACTTCATATTCATAATCCTTAAATAAAACCCTAATCTATCTCTAAAAACTCATCGTAATATGGTTTTTGTGTTTCCTCTCCACAATTTACTCAATTTATTATTTTGTATTATCAAGAATGTTTTAAACAATTATTTATTAAGGTATTGTACTATTATCATAAGATAGATACACAAAATCAAAATATTCACATTTACTCTTAAGTATTATCTTATATTATTGTGTAAAAGAATCTTTTCAAACAAACAAACCGAAAAAAACTTAGCGAATACTCGCTTAGAAGGTTAAAACAGAAACAGGTTAGAACTGACGTTTGATGAATATAATGTAAACATGTGTACTTTTAGTACATATTTTCTGTGTGCAGATGGCGCAAGCGTAGTAGAACAATCATCTCTTTGGCTGACATAAAATTGCCAGATGTATGTATTGTGCATCTAATATATTTGCAAAACATATCTGTGTTGTACGTGTCTTTGTTGAATATGCTGGTGAGTGCATGGTCGCATTAGAGCCGTGTTTGACACTTTTATTCAAATTTTGTTTGACCTGTTTTGTTTAAGTACGTGTGTTTCAACATGGGCAACTTAGATGATTTTTTTGCTAAAAAAGATCGTAAAAAGTCAAAGACTGTTAAGAAATTTTCGACGGCAGATGAAATAGCGAAAAAAATGGATGATTCCACGAAGAAGTCTGACACAAAAACGAAAAAAGAAAGCGAGGAACCTCAGACTCCCGTCAGAGATGAGGACGAATGGAAAGATTTTGAAGAAGAGAAGAAGGATTACACCGGTCTCAAAATCGGGCATTTGTTAATAAGTGAACCCGAACAATCTCAAAACGCAGCTGATAGCGATTGCGTGTATCACAATAGTGACGGTGAGACTACCGTAAATAATGATAAAGTAGTCGGTCCCTGGAAAAAGATAAGTGAAACTGCTCCTGTTGTAATAGAAGAAAAAGTAGAAAAGCCTGCGCCAGCAAAACCAACTGGTGGCTACGTGCCTCCAGCGCTTAGGAATCAATCATCCTCCAACAGAACAGTCAATAGGAATAAAAGCCGTGCGGCGCCTGATATACACAATGAAGAGTTTTTTCCTACGTTATCATCTAGTAAAAATGAAGTATCAAACGCATGGGTTCGCAAGAAGGAAGGCACTTTTGAAGAAGTTAAACACGGCAATCGAAATGTTCGAAGTGACCAAGGTGGAAATGCACCCTTATCTCTTGGTAATCGCTTCAACACTCTAGCTGATTCCAGCTAGGATAGTGTAAAAATAGAAGCAGAGCTATATATTTTCATTTAGATTACCAAAAAAAAAAAAAACTCGAAAGACTTCAAAACTTTGAACCTATGAATTGCTTATGTCATCTTTGTATTGTGAGAATTGTATTTGTAAATTGCTTGCCTGGATATACTTTATATCCAGACAGTTTTTTTTTTTTTTTTTAGAAATTTCTTATTAAAATGATTGTACATATTTATTAATAATATCTACCAAAATTGAATGGTGTGTTAATATGGTTTTGCCATGGTATTTTTGATAATTTTTTTTATTTAGTTATATTACTTTGTATTATTTTGGTTTTATCTGTGGATAGGCAATTCATTGCTTTATATTTACATAACTTGTAGATGTAATAATTTACTATTTGTTACTTGATTTGTATTTCTGTACATGGACCTGTGAATATATAAATTATTTTTAAAATACAAAATGTTTTCATTAGTATAAAATAAATTATGAGAAAATTTGCGTTTAACTACATCTTTGATAAATTTATCTGTTGTGCAAATTGATATACAAAATTATAAGTCAGTTCATAAAATATCTTTTATTGCCATTACAATTATTTGTAAAATTATGCAAGACATGCTTTTACGTCTTCATTATATTACAAAAGCATAAGGACCAAATTTGCCATATTTCAGTGTTCACAAATTATTGTAATTTTTTTTTTATTAAACGTTCCTATTGTTAAAGTTCATATTTTTATAAAATTATGTTGCAATTTTAACTTGAAAATTGAGTGCAAAAATACATTACTTTTTATAACTAAGGCCTTTGTCACATGTCACACAATATATTTGGTTTTATCTTTCAGTTGTTCAATTTATTTTGCATTTAAATACAAGAGTAACGATGGCCGGCCGGTATGAATTTATTTGAATACCATGCCCAAAAGCGATAAAATCACCAAATCGCGCACCATTGGAGCTCAGGCTAATGACCTCAAATAAAAGTAAATAAGTTATAATAATGTTACAATAAATATCTTATATATAAATCTAATGCTAAAAATAATAAATAAATTCATTATTGCATATTATACAAATATACATACTTATTGTTTATTTTATGCAAACAGCAACAACAAAACAAAATGACTAGAATTATACACAGGAGCATAAATAAATATTTAACTACATACATAATACTATGATAACAAAGCCAGAAGCGCAACTGGTTCAATCAGTCATGTAGCATTTGCCACTTGTTAAATATATCAAATATATTTTAAAGTATCATAAATGTATTTTTGATTTCAAGGCTTTAATGTCTTATTTTAATAAAAGTGCATTTTCAATCCTTGCAATCACAAACATTTTTACAGCGGTTATCACATTCACTGGGTCCATTAAAATCAGTTTCAATTTCATCATCATCAGCATATTGTATATCGTCTAACCACTTGCTATCATTTGTTTTTTTGCAAGTTTGCTCTTTTACTGGAATATTTTGTGATGTTACTTGATGAGCATGGATTAAATCCACGTTTTTTAATTTATCTTTCAAAGTTACTTCCTTAACTAGAACTTCTTGATTATTTTCCCATATATTGGAATCTAGTTCAATTTTTGAATCGACATTTTTATTTAGAATATCATTGTATTTTCTAATAGTATTATGATTTTTAACTAGTGCATCTTCATCAGGCGACTCTTTGTTACTGCCAGGACTAATAGGATAGTTTCTTGGAAGTATATCTTCAACTAATTCTCTTGAATCGCCATTTGTTAGAGGCGGTATCCAAACTAAAAACGCTGGGTCCATCCCCAGATAGGAACCTGGAATGGCTCCAGCATTTATTACATTATAATCATAATAGTCCATTTCCATTTCTAAATCTGCATTAGAAAGAGATAATTCTGATCCTGGATCTGATAAAACCTTTTCTCGATTTATTTTTTCTTTATTTTCTTTGTGATTCATAGATCTAATTTTTGCCACACTAATACTCCCTGCACTTGGTGAATAGTAGCCCTAAAAAATAGGTATTTTTCGGTATATAAACAAATTTCAAGGCCAAAATATAGATATTTTATCAATTTTGACGAATAAATATGCAAAATAAGAAAAATCTTTTTTTTCCTTATAGCTATTTTTGGCTATTTCTAGTGCACAAGTAGATTATAATATTCTATGTAAAATTTGTACACTTGCGCTAGTAAAATAAATGAACGGTGAAATAAAAATTATAATACCAAATTCTTTACATGGAATAAATAAGCTTTTATGCAGTGCTCAGAAAAAGAAATCCATATCAAAAATATTTATTTATTTTCGACGCTTTGAAACTGGTAAATTCAATCTGTTAACTATGCAGTATATATTAGAAAATAGAAAAAAAAAAAATGCTTTCAACATTAATAAATATAATTTAAAAAGATTGAATGAATATACTATATAAATTTATACTTCCATATTTTTTTAATTATTATTATATTTTTATTATTAATAATTTGTTTTATATGATTTATATCCGTCTCAAGGCAATTTATTTTCTCATAATCATTTCAAATTCAGATGTGAATTCATTTTAGAAAAAAAAAACGATAAGTATGAAAAGTTCGATACTAATTATTAAAGATTTTGGAAATAATAAAAATGTTTTAACTTATTAGATATAACATTGTAAAATATCAATGACTCGCTATTTGCTAATATTAATGATGTACTTGGGATTCAAGTTTATTGACTAACAGGGGTAAATCTATGGAGATTCATAAATGTTCAATCTACAGATTTAAATGGCGTTTAACTCAGCTCATGTACCTGCCCTTGTGTAAATTCCATTTTCACCATATATGGCTTATTATACAATAGAAATAATAGCACAAAAAACATAATATGATTATAATCATCATACCGAAATTAGCAATAATTAAAACTAAACACTTACAGATGTCAATTTTACTTCTAAAACTTTGTCAGAGGTTCGGATTATTTCATTATCATTGTGTGATTCCTCCTGATAAACTTTTGGGCTTTCATTTGTTATCATTACTTCATTTTTCACACATGTCTGTGGCGTATATCTTTCTGTAGTGTTTAATTCTTTCTCGGCACTAAAAAATTAAAATTAAATTAAATTATCAATATCAAATATGAAATAATAATTTGTGCTAATGATATTAAGTTCAATATTAAGGGCATTTCATTCTAATGGTGATGGAAATTAAATATACAAATATTATTCAAAAGACTGTAATACTACAAAAAAAAACTATCGAGATAACTATATATAACATCTATAATTATATCACAATTTTAACAAATAAATATTGTATTTTTTATCAAATATTTTATATAAGACTGTTATATGACAATTATAATATGATTATAATATGAATTTTTCAATATACATATTACTAACCTAGTTGTCTGTAAGCTATTAGTTGGGGAAGATTTTTCAGTATGTAATTCAAAGTTGTTTTTTGAGATATCTCTAGGTTTGAGACGAACTAATGATATCACTTCAGAGAGTAAAGTACCATTTGAAATAGATCTTCCCTGAAGTGACAGCAATTCTTCTGATCCAGGAGTGTCGACTAAAGACTCAAGATCTTCTGCCAATTCATATTTTCTGTATCGCAATAAATACTGCGATCCAAGTATTCCACTGAGAAAAAGAATCAAACCAATAAAAGCAAATGCTGTTATATATGCTAATGAAAATTTATCCTTAAAGTTGATGGCAAATTGATCTGTTGAAGTATTGTTTCGATTTATTTTGGGGGCAACTGCAAAAATATTAAATAATATGAGAAATAAAAATAACTATCTTACCTATTTGAGATTTATTTATTTACCTATTTGAGTTGCATATGCCATGATCTCAGAAGGGCATTTTCTTAAAGATGTTAGTTGTTCATTAGAATTAAATTCTATAAGCATATATATACCAGTGGATACGTATTCCACAGATGGATTATGCCCACGCGGATACTGGGAATACTCTAGATGTCCAAGAAGCGACGAAGAAAGACTTTCACCATCGCGCATCTTTATCCATTGTGAAACACAAGGCAACTGATAGTACACTATTTTGAATGTGACGATATGTCCTGGTTCAGCCTAAGTATAATATGTCGTTCATCAAATTTGAGAAATAAAAATGTGACAAAAAATTAAAACGAATATTTTATTATAATTATAACTATTAATAGTTATCAACCATACAAATTCAGGCACTAAAAAAGCAATAAAAATGTGGCATGTGGCAATTCATTAAATGAATGATAACTTCATATTTATTATTTTAACGATTTTGTCTAATTGTAAGCCATAATATGAGCTGTTTGATAGAATATAAATTTTCTATACCTGTAAAAGCCAAAAGGCGCGCCCTGGGCAGCTTTCTGATGAAGTTGCAATGAGACTTTTAGCGGTAAATCGACTTAAATGCAATACACAACCGCATCTACACAAAGGGTCCATTTCTCCGATAGTTTCTCCGCGTTCTGCCATCGCAACGAGCGTGCCGCCGTAAAGACATTGCCAGCGATCAATAGGACTGGTGCCACATACTTCCGTGTCCACTGAATCTCCCTGTAATAATATTATGAAAACTAGCTGTAAGTGGAATTCTGTCTTAAGGCAATTAGAGCATCGTGCCTTAAGGCAAATTGCTGGAACTTCCCGTACCAAAAATTATTATTTTTTTTAAAAACGATTAACATTTTTGAAAAAAAATTACTTCGAAAAAATAAGATTTTTGAGAAACTATAAATTTGACGAAAAATTTCTTTTTTTTGAAAAAAAAATTATTTAATTTTTTTTTTTTTAAATCTTTTTTTTTTGAAAAAAAAATGTTTTCTTTATTTTGACATATGTTGGAAGATCTGAACTTTTTTTCAAAGCAATCGTACTGCTTTAAACGCATAGAGACAAAATATAAAGCGCGTAAGCGCCGCGTCGCTGTCTAACGGGTAAACATTGGTACGGAACCCATAGGAATGTAAACAAAATTTATACTTATTGTTAAAATCTCTATAAAATATCTGATAATTTGATGTGCATATGTCTAATGATCATATTTGACCGACAAAGGGCATTTTTTTTTACTTTTTTCGTTATATCTCCGAAACCGCTAAACCTGCCCTTATAAAAATTTGATCAAATCTTCATCTTGTCAATACAAGTAAAATGTTTTTTGAATTATTAAAATCGGACACTCCGTTCTATTAAAAACTGAGGTACCGTTTTTGGCACTTTTTGCCCCATATCTTCGGAACGGCTAGACCTACCTCCGCCAAAAACTAATCCGCACGTCTCCTTATCAATACGGATCGAATGTTTTTTAAATTATTCAAATTGCTTCATCCGTGTTCCCGAAATCGTCGACGAAAATTTGTATCCGCACACACATACATACTACGCACACACACACACACACACACACACACACACATACATCCATTTTTTCTAAGGTATGCCAAAATATTCAGAAACCTCTGAAACGTAAAGATATATAAAAAATTTCATTTTCGATTTTTTTGCGATTACTATAACTTACCCTAAGGGAAGTTAAAAAAGATAGAAAAACATCGCAGGTCATAAACAACTATGCAACAACTTTTTTAACTTCCCGAAAGAGTTATAATTATATGTTTTTTCCACGTTTTGAGTAATGAATCGCATGAGCCCAAAGTTTGAAAAAGTATGTGTGAGTATGTGAGCCGATTTTTATTCTTTCGTCAAAGTTTTCTCAAAAACGACGACGAACAGCTAAGCCGTTATTTTGTAATTACTTAGCAGAATTTTTTTACTACACGTTTTAGCCCACAATCTTGAATCGATTTTGAAAATTCAAGAACTGTTTTAAAGATATTGGTTGGAAAACGCGCTGATTAGTTTTAAGTATCGGCTGGGCCATTTCTTCGTAATTAAATGCTGAATTTTTTGCCATATTTTATGAAATCTTGTAAACCATAGATTTTACGGCTGAATTGTACTTTTTTTAAGTTTAGAATTCGCTTGGAGCGATTCTAATCAGAATGTTGTATGTGTCTACTGACTACAGTTGACGTCCACACTTGAATATAATATTTAAATAAAATGAAATGTGTTAAACGAATTAAATTAATTGATACAATTTGAAAGACATCAAATGGAAATGGTATTAATTATTATTTAGTAAAAGCGAAAAATGTATTTTCGAAATGAACATTTAAATATTTTAGCTGAATCTCAATTCTTGTTGATTAATTTTATTATGTGTACGTATCGGGAAGTTCATGCAGCTTGGCAAAACGCTATACCTACAACTAGTTAATATTAGGGATTTAATAGACCAATTAATTACCTCACAAAATGCCGCTCCATATCTAGGAGAAGGATCATTGCAAACTCGATACCTTGTTCTAATGCCGGAACCGCAACTCTCGCTGCAAGGGGTCCAAGCACTCCAGGGTCCCCAGCCACCAGCTGGCATAGTGGGTAATGTAGGCAAACATACCATCCGCACATCCACTACGGCACCGGTTATAGCGCGGCTCACATATACGAAACAATATTCTACATACCGTTCACTAAACAATTCACAATCAAATCTCATACTATGTCGTCCTTTAGTCACACGTTTTTCAGTTACGTAATGCAAGGTAGTCGGCGGTGCCAAAGATGCAACGTCCGCTCGGCGTTTCGCGTACACGCGAATTCGATCGCCATCACTTAATATACACGAGGGATACTGGAAGAGAACTCCGATGCCATTTTCATTCATACTATCGCAGGGAAAAATACTTTTTGCATGGACATCGAATACAAAACGATCGCTCCAGTCAACCTAAATCGAACAATACAATGTTATTGTATAACAAAAACTTTATACTAAATTATATTTCTAGATGTTATATTTTATGTCATTTGCACACCCTCATATACCATATTCTATTAGTATCTACGCCACTAGGATATAAATAAGAATTCTATTCTAGACGAAGATACCAGAAGAAAATTTAAAAAATAGGCTGGTTGGGCCCAGGCTCACTCTTGGCAATCAGCGGTTATACAAGAAGCTAAATTAATTAATTAAAAAAAATCATACCTTACTTAGTTACCATACACTGATAAATTCTGTTTTTACAAAGTGTTTTTGTTTATGTCCTAAAGACTTGAAGTGTTTTCATTACTCGAAAACAACTTCGATGCAAGGCAAAGAAATTCATAACCATATGTTTGACGAAGTCAAATTGAGGGAAAACACCACTTTAAATTTTTCATTAATTCGAATACTCACCAATCATTCAGAAACCAATATTTTTAGAAATCCTCTACGTATTTTCCCAGCTATAAACATGTATTACAATACAAGTGTTTTTTTTCTAGATTCAGTAAAATAAATAAAAAAAATGGTTTTTAAAAAAACTTTTTCGTTTTTTATTACTTTTTGGAAATTTGTTCAAAACTTATATATTATACGTACATGTGTGTGTTCTTCCGATTAAGTATATCAAGCTTCATTCTGGTTTCGAATCTATTATTTACTTTTCGATTTAAAAAATAATTTTCTGGGGCAAATGCAAAGAAAAATGTTTCCTCATAGTTTAACAAATGAAAACTGTGATATTAATATTTGTGCAGTAACTTAAACAGTTGAGCAAGTTTGAAGTATATTCAAAACCAAAATGTGCTATGTTTCTATAAAACTTTGTTCATTCCATAAACATTGTTTCAATAATAATTTAAAGAGTGGTGTTTTTGGTACTATAGTACTTATTTTTTAACAAAAACTTTTGTCTTGTTAATGGAATAAACAATGTTAACTGTTGATGTTTCTTAAATTTTTCGTTTAATACAATCATGCAAATATGTATATGTATAAAAGCAACACAACATATGCAGGCTATTCGTCAATAAAAAGTGTTAAAAGAAAAACATTCATTCCTTTGTAAACTCTGAACTGTAGAAGACATAATGTCTCTTTCGCAAGATGACATTATGTCTTCTACTATACTTTCTGATTGAAATTTTTTTTTAGTTATGTGTTGATTTTTCTATAAAGTTGTACTAATAATTTTAGTGTTTTAAGTTAACAATATAGTCCTGGTTGATTTGCTGAATGATGACAAACCAAGTCTCAAAACATTTAAATAATAAAGAATTTTTTTCTTTTAACTTTTTTTTAATTCAATGAGTGTGGTACTAATTATATATATATATATATATATATATATATTGTTTGAATTGCGTCCTATCTAAACGTTAATATTAAGAGCTAAAACTTTCAGAGAATTGTTTTTTATCAATTTGGAACCATTTGAGCCCCTGAGAGCAAGAAAATTCAAAAATGACCATTTTAAGGACCACCCTAATATATATATATATATATATATATATATATATATATATATATTGATTGTTTCTTTTCCGAACAGTAAATCCATAATAAAAACAATTTGTTTTTGAAGATGTTTAATACGACGTTTCGAACTAGGTACGTTCCATCATCATGTTTATTCTGTCATATTAAGAATAACATTGACAGAATAAACCTGATGATGGAACGTACCTAGTTCCGAAACGTCGTATTAAACATTTCAAAAACAAATTGTTTTTTATATTGGATTACTGTTCGAAAAGAAACAATCAATATATTGAAAAAATCCAGGACTTATCTATGAATATATATATATATATATATATATATATATATATATATATATATTACAACAATGAAATGAATTTACCTTGACAATAGTTGATGCTAAAATTATTTTTTTCGTAAGATCATCCTTCAATTGTATTCCATAGTAACCAGCTTGACCAAACAACTGACAAGTAAGCTCTGTTTTATATGACACTATATCTCGCTTTCGCAGAGTTTGGGAATAGATTTTGTGATGACCATTAGTTGAACTTTCACTATTACAATAGGTATCTTCGCCACAAAATATCAGAATCAAAACTAACAAATTTTCATCTGATTCATCACTACAATTATCTGGAGCTTTAAAATGTACTAGTACAGGCTTATCAGGATATGTAGTGAATGTTGTAGGAGAAACAATCAAATCAATACTTGGTGTAATAACATTTAATTCTTTGCAAACCCGTGTTCCATTATCAGTATGCACAATCAAACTGTATAATCCTTTGTAAGGAAAATATTTACAAGATAATTTCACACTTGCTATGTCATCTGTTATCTGTACATTTGCATCAGAAGGCACTAATTGAATTATTGGAGAATATGTTGTCACAGATGATTTATATTCAATTTTCAATTCTTGAGGTATATTTTCTGTAGGCATGATTCCATAAATTCGAATAAATAAGTAATTATGATCAGTAGCTATATGATATGAAGACGGCAATTCTAGTGACAACTCCGATGCAAAAATGCATTTGGCAAAAATCAATGCCCATGCTCTCCAATGAAACACTTGCATTTTAAAAACAATATTTGTGGAAGATCAAATGACAATTTCAGTGACCTGTAATTTGCTTTTATGAGCACAACAATTTCAATCTTATTACAGATTACAATATAGTATTTTTCAAATACAAAATCATAATAAAATATTACTGAAACAAAAAAATTTAAATAATTAAAATCAAAATAAATTATTTTGTATAATTTTCACAATACTAAGTTTAATGGAAGACAATAATAAAATGAACAATAATAAAATTAAATTGAACTAATATATCATTGAATAAAAAATTGACATTTGTAAAATAAACTTTATTTCTACAAATATATACAAAATTATAAATACATAACATAATTAAACTTAAAAAAAAAATTACATAGAAAATCTATAGAAAATAATAGTCAAATTAAAATTAAACTGTTCATGCTATAAACGTAAAGTTAACCTTAATGATTTTTATCAGTTCATTAACCTCCTATTATGCATAAAAAATAACATATTAGCACATGCGTTTTAATTTAAACTTAATTGGGTTTATCAACATAATTCAAATATTTCCTCAAACATGACTCAGCTTATACCTCTATAACATAAAATCCAGTTTACTCTGATTCTTCCATTATCCTTCATTATAAGTAGTAAAAACTAATTATGAACTGATGCAATCTGAAACAATTGTTTAAAAAGCTACAAAAACACTGAATACACTAATAAATGTTTAAAAGCACTTTAGATAACAAGACAATGTAGTCCAAAAACTAAAACATTAATAATTTTCAAAGCTAACATGACAATCATATGACAATCATTCATAAACAATTCGTTCAGAACTGCCAACTTACTGATGTGACACGAAGTATTTATGCTAGAAAAAGAAAATATTAGAAGATTTTTAGCTAAAAATAAAAAAAACTGAGCAAACTGAACTGTAATACTGTAAAATATAATTACAGCAAGTTTATAAATTTTAAAAATCGTATTTTATAAATATCAGTTTTCTTTTTGCTACGTATTTTAAAAATGCAAAACGAATGTTTGGATAATTATGCTCCGTTTCAAATTATTACGCTTAGAATACATAACTATAAATATTACCTTTGATTTTCCATTTAAGGATATTTCTATCTAATTATTTTATTAATATTTATATTTTACCGCGTCTATAATTTAATATTGGTATGACACTTTCGTTCGGCTTTCTTCGCCAAGTATCGTTTTATCAATAAGTTCGCACTTGTGTCTATGTTGGCTTTAGTAAATGGTTCTTGTACCGATATATCGTGCCACAACCCAAGTTGACCAATCATAAGTCGAACAGCAGGAAATCGTGTCCTACGTCTCTTTCGCACGTTTGCATATAACCAGCGAATAGCAAGAAGTCTACGTCAGGGTTCATTATTCAGTTCGGGCTATTTAGTTAATATAGGATTCGTTGGTAAGTGATCGGAAAGATATTATAAAACTTGTTATCTTAAAATATTTGTGTTTTACTAAACCATCGAGAGTTACAAGGTGCGATATTAATTCATGTTCGACGAATTTAAGTGTGGAAAATTAAATTTTAGTGCAATTTTACGTCGGCTATATATTATCTCCATTTTTATTTCGGTAGATCAACAAATACTAAATAAAAATATTATAGTGCTATAAAAACTTCCTTAATAGTCACGAGATTACATTTTAAATTTGAAGATAAGAGAAACATGAAATTTCCTCTTTTTTGCATGATTACTACAATTACGTAACTCGTAGTTCGTACCTTCTCAAACAATTCATAGCTTCAAATATTTAGTACTATTTAGTATAAGTGAAGTGTTTTCATGTAATTAATGGCTCTTTACGATTTCAGTTTCTAGAACCACAACAAATTAAAACACACCAAGATGTTCTCAGCAGCAAAATTCATCGCCCCAGTCGCCAAATCCGCAGTAAGCTATTAATATTTATTGTTACTTATATTACATAACCAATAATTTTATTATATAATAATTTTCGTGATCAAATTTTTAAAATTAGTGTACTTGCATGTCTTACATAATCCATCAAATATCACATTTCCATTGAACTTGCACAATTATCAAATAATTTCAGCCTTTCATCTGTGTATATTTTATTGAGTATAAATTCAACATTTTTTTTTTTAGTTTGTCAATGGATCAAAGGCATATCTGCGACCAATCTCAAGTGCAGTATTGACTCAAAGCTCTACTATCAATGTATACTGCAGCCGCTCAATCTAGCATTTTACCACAAGTTCGTTGTCTGCAAAACTACAGCAGTAACGAAAGACATTGATTCAGCAGCTAATTTATTGGTGCTGGAGCAGCCACCGTAGGAGTAGCAGGATCAGGTCAGAAAATGAAGAATAAAAAAGAAAACTAACAAATGTTTACAAATGACTTACATAAATTATTTACAGGAGCTGGTATTGGTTCAGTCTTTGGATCATTAATCATTGGTTATGCACGTAATCCATCCCTTAAAACAACAACTATTTCTCATATGCCATT